AACCCTAAACCCTAAACCCGAACCATTAGAACTCTCAGAGCTCAGCCTCTCTGGGTAAAGCCCCCAAAGCCCAAGTAAAACGGAGCCAGTGCATGGGATCCACGGGCAAATTTCATTTAGGGGGTCGGACTAGCTGTAATGAGATCCCGTAGGGTTTATGGGGGTTTAGGGTTTAGGGTTTAGGTACCTAACCGGTCATAGCCTTATGGCATATTGTGAGGAAAGAGCCGTATTCAAACCACTAAGACCGCAATTTAAGCCTCTCGTTTCACCGGAGAATCCCGAATCCGATGACCTCCTTGGACTTAAGTTAGCAAGTCACATCTTTCGGAGCCGTCGGAGGGCTTAAGTGGTTTGGTGGTGTCTCATGGGCTTGGGTTTTAAGGCGCCTAGAGCATAAGCCGTAGAACTCTAGACCGTAAGCCTTAAGTCCTCATTCCTGTGTTTGCCACACCCTGCCAACAACCCCGAACCCCTAAACCCCTCCACTGAGAGGTCTCGGAGCGCGTGAAGCGGGTTGTGGCGAGGTGCAAGGCGCATCAGTGCAGTTTTTGGGTTTAGGGTTTAGGGTTGGGGTTTAGGAAGCTGAGGAAAAAAGCTGAAGAGCTAGGCCTACATGTTTATGTTACAGTAGGGTTCTTGCTGTTCTACATCTTTCGCAGAAAGGTACGTTGTTTTCGGGGGTTTCGGCTTGGACATGGGGTTGTCGGTTTAGGACGTACCTAGAAAAGAGGGGGTTTAGGGTTGAGGGGTTAAGGGTTTTGGGTTTTGGGGTGAGTCTCGTGAGAGCCCTGCGGGCTTCAGTCTTTCTTGGCAGCTTAGGACGTCTTTTGTCGCAAAGCGCCGGCTCTCAGGACCCTGAGCCCTAAACCCCGAGCACCGGACAACCCTAAACCCTGGACAACCCTAAACCCGAACCCTTAGAGGGTGGGACGCTCTCGGGCCCCCATATTTACAGCATTTGGAACGAATATCGCTTTTGAAATAGAAGGGTGGTATAACACTTGTAAATGCACTGCACTCAGTTCTAGATCAATTCTAATGTCAATGGTTTCCGTCATTCCATATACCAGACCTTTTTCCTTGGAAGCATGTTTGC